TTTGTAGTACTTTTCCACTGCAAGCAGCGCGGGCTGGGGCTGCTGGGGTAGGCCGGGCGGGCCGGGCGGAGGACAGCGCCCCGGTGTGGCCGATGTCCCAAGCGGCCTGCAGCAGCGGGTGGCGGTGAGCGGTGAGTCCCCATGACACGAATCCCGCCAAACTCGCCGCCGTGGCCACACGGACCCGTCTGGGCGGGCCCGGGCCCATCGGCGAGTTGTTGTTGTTGCACGTGCGCGCGCCCGTGCGTGTGTACGCACGCCCCGCTGGTCCTCGTGGCCACGTGCTAATACTGGTGTCGGCCGAGCGATTTGACACGAGGTGTGATTTGCAAGCTCTGTAGGCGCGGCTGCGGCGCCGAGCAGCGAGGTGCAGTGCAGCGATGCGGAGAGGGAAGCCCACTGGAGGAGATGGGGATCTTGCATGCGTGTTCTTGGTGTCGTCGCTGGGGTGAGGGGCTCGTGGATGTGTGTGTGTGTGTGCGCGCGCACGCTACACGCACGCACGCTCAGAGGCGCCAAAAATCAACGCATGTCGCCACGAGTACAGGAGCGCACAGCAGCAGCAGCAGCAGCAGCAGCAGCAGCAGCAGCAGCAGCAGCCGCCCCAATCTGATGAGGGTTCGCACTCCCCGGCTCAGTCCAGCGCGTCCTCGCGGCCCCGCGCCGCCCCCAGCCCCACTCCATGCCACCCCCCTCCGGCCCACGCGGCGCTCCCCCCAGCCCGGCCCGGCCCCACTTTGGTAGTGTGTTGGCCCTGGTGCCGGCGGGGCTCGCGCCGGGGCGGGCCGCGCGCGGCCGAGTGGGCCTGCCACAGTCCGCCGCGCTCTCCCCCTAGAAGTGCGTCCCGTCCGGCTCAGCCATGGGGATCGCTGTGTACACCGCACTGCTGCTGTGCGCCGCGACCTCGGTGCGCGCCCAGGAGGCCCTGGACAAGGAGCGGCCCTTGCGTAAGTGCAGTGTGTGTGTGAGAGAGCGAGTAAGTGAATGTATCGGTGGTCAAAGGCACTGAGGGGCAGTGATCGGAACATTAAGGCCGAAGCACTTTGGTCGTGTCGAACTCCCATCAAACAACACGTAAAACTGTGTCACATTTCAAATTTGCGGTGTTCACACGCCAAAACAAAATTCCATTGACCAAAAATTTATACGAAAAAAGGAACTAGAATTGTTTTTGCTTCGGGCCAAGAATAAATTTTCTTGAATCATGAAAACATGCTTCCTTAAAAAACATATTTATTCAATCAAGACTATTTATTGTTTCTTGATTTAAGAAAACTTTCATGCTCCAACATATTTTTATTGTTTGGGGGAAAAATTATTTTTGGCCCGAAGAAAAAAAAATTCTAGGTGCCCTAAAAATAATTTTCTTGTCTACGGGAAACTTTTTTGTGGATGTGTAGCTTTGAGAAAGGTTCCTATAAACTATGCACACGCGATTTGACAATATGCGCTATTATTGACGTATTGGCGAATAGTGCGATATGCCCTCCTTCGTATTACCTCATCCTGGTTCCTCATATGTTTTACTTTTGTCGCCAAGCATCGCCATAACTTATCTGAAGTTTTTCATAAAAGTAAGAAGACACAGGAAGTTATTATTTTTGTACCATGTATCCCACGCACTCTCACACAACGGAGAGGAATAATATTAACTATCGCCAAATGAGGCAATTACGAGCAATCATTTTTGGCAACTTGATTGGGCTTGGCAAGCCGCATGCTTCTGACTATTTTGGCAATTGTTTGTTGTTTGGCCAATTTCGAAAGCGCTGACACCAAGAACCTCTAGAATCTCCTAACGCATATAAGCTAGTCGGCTTGCTAGTAGTGTAATTGACTTACCTATTCAGTGAAGGTGCGGGCCTGTGGCTCTCCAAACAAGGAGGAGTCCGGGAGTGTATAGAGAGGAGACTGTGTCCCTCTGACACGCACTTTTGTTTATTCGGTAGCGCATGTGCCGACGGGTTTGCCTACCGTCTGTACACTGCAAATCCAAGTGTATGAATGCCGCACACCTCACGGTGTGCGACTTAACTCACAATTAGTTGGGTGACAACTTATTAACGAGCGTATAAGAATACTTAACATTAGAATACTTCGAATGGCTATTCGCTTAGCTGCAGAATGAGGGTGTTAGTGATCGTTCGATCACCAGCTACTTGTTCTAGGTATGGAGTGAGTTAAGGTGTACCCCCACGTTCAGCGATTCTAACGATAGCGCCTGCGACGTCCTGGGTAGGCCAGCCCGCCAGGCACCTGTGCGGAGCCGGTGGCCCGCCCTGGTCGCGTAAGCAGGGTTCCGTAACTTAACGCATTAGCGTTATGCGTTAGTTATATATTAACGTGAAACGCATTAGCGTTATGCGTTAGTTATATATATATTAACGTGAAACGCATTAGCGTCATGCGTTAGTTATGTAACGTAACGTTTAACAATTTGCAAATAAAAGTTAAAGTTATGGGTCGTCAAAAATTATTCTGGTGCTAGTTGGAGCTTGTTCCGGCATTTTGAGTCTAACTCTTATCGTTTCATTGAATGGTCACAAGTTATAAGTTATAACTCCTAACGTTTCATTGTATGGTCACAAGTTATGAGTTAAAACTTTAACGGATAACGTATCGCTAAAGGGTAGTTTCATGTTAAGTTACGGACCCCTGCGCGTAAGTGAAGAAGTGATTCGGACGTTTGGCCTCCAAAGTCAACTCGCGGGACCTCGGGGGACGCTCATTGTGCTAGAACTTGATTGCCTAGGGAGTCATGTCATGTGGCCAGGACGTGTGGCTGAGGCTCTTACTCACACGGTAAAAACAACAGTTTATTTTCTGAAATAAATGGGAAAACCTTTGAGGAATTCCCATAATTTAGGGAGAACTCCACATATTTTAAGAGAGTCTAATTTAAAAAAAATTAAGTTTTCATCATTATTTGATAAAATATCCTCAAAATCTGAGGTGTCCTCAAGCTAACGGAGTTCCTCAAAGTTTGAGGGAGGTGGGGAGGTAGCTACAGACAACTACAAACGAGTTATAATCAACGGGGGCGTTGAACCATCATTGAGCTCTTATTGGCCAAAACAGCTCTAATATCATCACCACTTGTAACCCTGGCTCTGCCCTGGCTTCGCCCTGACTGTGCTGCAGCTCCTTGTGACAGGCTGATAGCGCGACACGGCAGGACCACGACACACACGCGCTTCACACACACGAAGGCCGCACTACTGTCGCAGGGGCAGGGGGGCAGCGCCGCTGTAGGTCACGGAGGCGGGGCGGGGGAAGATGTTCGGTAGTTCATACGACAATATTTTAAAGATTTAAAGAAATAGAACGGCCTGGACGCCTCGGTTGTAGGTCTAAAAACTAGAAACGAATGAAAATTATTTCAAATAAATGTAAAAAAAATCGACGTATCCATGCGGAAATGAGACGGATTGGGACAACTTTACAGGCATCTACACAGAGAGAAAAGTTCCAGCCAGAAAACAAAACTGAGTTTGGATTGTTCCATTTATCAGTACATCTGATCAGTTTTGGTGTCAGATCGAAACCTTCAACTCTGCACCAGAACCTTTGGTGACCATGCGTAAAAACTTTTGGCTAGTCTTTTTCTTTTGAATTTGTCTAAACTTTTGGGCGTACGGCCCGAACTTTTTTCTCCGTGTAGCTCATTGTAGTTATGTCCTAGTATTGAGTGATGCCTTCTTTTAATTTCAAGGAAATAGAAATTGACACGTCGAGTCCCACGTGACCACACGTATGGGCACAATAACCGGTGATTGGTACCCCCCCCCCATGGGACTCAACGTGTTAACACGAGATTTCATTCAATTCTATGACGAACTAGGGGCCTTTAAAGTTGACTACGCTCACTTTTGTTCCGGGACCGTTCTTGGATGGGCACGTCGAATTGCAGTGTCTTTTGGCCAACGCATATTCCTTGATTGAATGATTTAATTTTCTGGGTGACGAAAGGAGGGAAGGAGTGAGAGGAATTTCGATTACTGTTGGAGTGCTACGTTGAACGTGCCTCCAACCCTCCTCCCCTTGCCCGCAGCCTAGTGGCAAGGCAACTATCAACGACAAGGCGCAGGGGAAGGCCGCCCGTGCTGTAAGGAGGTTCTAGGGCCAAGCAGGCTCTGGAGGCTGTGCGGCGTGAAAGTATCCAGCATAATGACACTGCGATGGCCACACCAACCTCTCGGTTCCATCTTTTCCACTACATCTGCGTGCCGTTTCCTCTCCTGCAAGGGCAGCGGGTCCGTGGTGTGGTGGTGTGGGTCACGGGAAACGCTCGCGAAGCGCTTGCGAAGGCAAAGCATAATGACCCAGCAAAATAAAAAGTTGTAGCAATTATAACTATTGTATGGTTGCTTAAGGGATAACCATATAAAATATAGTTGAGACAATTACCCGCCAGTCGGCAGCAGCGGTGAAACATATTTTTGGTTGTGCTGCTGTTGCCTCAACCATATTTTATGGTTGTCCCTGAAGTAAGCCATGTGATGGTTGCTCCATCTATCTATCTATCTATCTATCTATCTATCTATCTATCTATCTATCTATCTATCTATCTATCTATTATCTCTACACCAGAGAAAAAAAGGTACCTATTAAAAGGCACTAATTTTAGCACTTTTTAGCGCTTTTTCGTTGCCTTTGTACAGACATTAAACTGAAAATGTCATTAGTACCCCTTGTTTTTCCAGTGTATCTGTCAGCAGGGAGCCATTCATGCTTTGTTATGGTTAAAGTCTGCGCCCTTGTTAGTCTTGCGGGCTTCCTCAGGGTCGAGCCGAGGGTCGAGCGGTAGTGATTCAGTCCGAAAGAGGTGGTCGCCAGCCTTAGACAATGCAAGTGGGCCAGTGTCGGAGGTGTCATAGCTGGAGAGAGAAAAAGTAACACCCTTACCCTCGCGACGCGAGCGAGCTCAGCCATGTTTGTTCGCGCACCCCTGCGTGCCAAGAGTGCGGGTTTAAAGTCATTGACCTAGGCATAACTCTTTGTTGCAGCTGACTACTTCAAGGCGTGTGTCCGCGGCCGCCCGGACTTCGACCGCTGCATCATGGACTCCCTCAACCAGTGCAATCATTTCTTCCACACTGGTAAGTTACAAGTGTGTGAATGTCGCACTTGTATTATGTCGTGTAAGGTGCAACTGATTAGGGGCTTACCTTTTTTAAAAAAAAAAAAATTGTATCCATTCCCCCCTCTTAGGTGTCCCAGAGTACAACGTGCCTCCCTTCGACCCGTTCTTCGCCAAAGAGGTGGTGCAAAAGCGTGGCGGCAACTCGCTCTTCTACAAACTCACCCTCCGCGACGTGATCGAGTCCGGTTGGGCGCGCTCCAAGGTCATCCGTTTCAAGTGAGCACGCATAATGGCGATCATTACTAGTTTAACTGAACACCACTGACATAGATGATTGAAATTTGTTCCTTTACCGTGAGTACAAGCAGGTGAATAAACCCAACTAAAAACGTTTTCGCTCAATGTCAGTCCGAAGAAGGGACTGTCCACCTGGAGCCCGCACTGAAAAAAAAAATACATTAGTGCTAAGGACAGTTGTAACACCCCCAAGAACATTTTGCTCTTGGATCGGCTCCAAGAACATAATGTTGCTAACCATACGACAACGGTCCTTGGCCTAACGACAATGTAGCTGGCTCAAGAACAGTCGGTCGTAGAATGAGGGACTGTGTCGCACGGTTAGCAACAAAAATGTTCTTCATCCAGTTACAGGCCTTGATGACAGGCATGTCCTTAGCACTAATGTATTTTTTTCAGTGCGAACGGAGAGATCGAAAACTTTTCCGGAACTGTCCCGTTTCGTCCAGTGCCTGGAAAGTCCGAAAAAGGAGAAACCCTCCGTCGGTCTAGCAGGATTTAAGTCCAGACTGTTGCAAGAACAGACCGAAAAAATAAACATCGGTGCACTGCAAAAAAATTAGAGTCTGGTACGGAACGATCTACGACGTTACTGCAGATGCCACGCTTAGTCACTGCACCTAGGGTAGGGTACAGAGCGTGGAGTACAGTGTCGCTGTAGCATCGGAAAGCCCAGGTTTTATCCGGTTTTGCCTGTGCGGTGGTCCTGTACATTGCTCTCCGTAGCAAATGTTAACCATTGAAACTACAGCAACGCTGTTATTCGAACAACAGACGTTGCTAGAAAAAATTATTAGGCCTAGCGGTCGATTCTATCATTTCCCCTGACATAATTTTTTGCAGTGTGGCCTAGCCAGGATTCGTTCCCATCCCTTCCCTTCCCTTACGTATCGAACTGATAGCGGAGGAGTCCGGACACAACCCGGACAGATAATGGAACCATTCGCAGCGCATCGTTGTTTTACTACACGGTAAAAACAATGTCCTATTTGATGAGGAAAAAGGAAAAACTTTGAGGAACTCCTATGTTTGAGGTTATCCGATCTCACCTCAGATTTTGAGGAATCTTCTCAAAAAATGAGACCTTCACTTTTTGAGGAGACTTCCTCGAAATCTGAGGAGTTTTTGTCTGACCAGGGTAGTTCCTCAAAGTTTTCCCCTTTTCCTTAAAAAAAATTGAGACATCGTTTTTACCGTGTACCTGTTTTACATTTGCTCAAAAGACCCCCTCTCTCGTCTCTCCTTAAGTGTCTTGCTATGGAAGTGGAGATCTCATAACATTCACTGTCCGATTTGATTTCCGACGGGTAGCCTCCAGCAACTATTGCGTTCGAATTCTCGATATTGAGACAGAGATGCTTCTTTCTTCAACTTGAGATGAAGACCGCGGGTAGAGTTACAAAAGTCAGGCGGGAATAACGGGCGAGCGGGCAGGAGCGCGGCGCTTGCCAGCCGGATGGTTGTCTACAGGCGAATGTGTTGTTGCAGGAGCGACCCACGCAACTACCGCATTCGCTACACCCAATGGTGGCCGGATAAGTTCCTCGCCGGCCAGTACGAGTTCGACGGTAACATGATCCAGCTTCCCATCGACAACAAGGGACAGTTCAACCTAACTTTGTGTGAGTTTGCAGCGTCTCAATTATTTCAGTTGGTACATTGAAGCCTAAATAGTGAGAATCAGGATCCAAACAACCCTGTCCAGCAGCGGCCACCCCTTTGCCACCTTGCCCAACCACCTCTCTTCTTGAGATGGCGCCTCTGTTGTTTTTGTTATTCAAAAATTCCCGCCTCTGCAGACAACTACACGCAGACCACGACGCTCACCCGGCGGCCAGTGCTTGACGAGGGCGGCCGCTTCCTCCGCTGGGCGCCCATCAAGGTGCAGATCAACGTGCTCAACTCGGGTGATATGGCGCTGCACATCAGCCACCTCTTGGGCGGCCGCGTCATCATGGGTGAGAATTGCACGATTTGCTTGCACTTGGGGAACTAAAAAGGAATTCTGAGGAACTTTAAGGCAGTCTCCTCAAAAAATGAGTGAATGTCTCCCATTTTTAGATGAGACTCCCTTGAAATCGGAGTGTTTTTTCTTAAACTAATAAGGAGACCCTTACAGTTAACCGATTTTCCGAAGAATACAACAAATTGTTGTAACCGTGTATGAGACCACCTCCAGTGAGGAGCAAGACTAAAGACGATGCCGTGACGAAAAATTTAGCCACATTGCGGTGTCTATCTAGATTATTCGAAAATTGTTAGGCAAACTTTGGAGATTTCAGAAAAGTATAGCAGCTAAACACCACATGGTTTCCATTGATAGCAAAGAACTGTGTATGTCCAAGTGTACCCAACATTTAGACACCATGTAATGTGCAAAGTCATGACCTGCACACATTGGTGTGCCAATTTTGCACACTGGTTTTACCAGAGAGGATTTTAACTAGATGCTTCTTTTGTATTCTGTTGTAGAAAACATTTTGGACCGAATAATAAACGCAGCGTGGCGACCGGGTTTCTTCGTCCTGCGGACGACTATCAACGATTTGGTCGAGACGGCTTTTACTAAAATATTCAACGACGGCTTCAAAGGATTCGACTTGGAGAGAGTCTTACCGCCACCCGAGAGTATAAGCAACGCGCTGTAAGTGCACTCATAAAGCCCAGTTCTTGAAGTAAGGTAAATTTTCTTGTTATGAGAAGCTTTTGAATGCATGATGAACAAATTTTCCTAGATCCTAAAAAGCTTTGTGCCTGGAGATCGTCCAGAAAATACGTCTGTGATCGCCGTTACGAGCATGTCAAGCAGTTCAGCCTGTGCACACTCTCATAGCGCCTGCGAGGTAGGCAAAATCATGCCTGCATCACATGCGTGTACAGCGGGCTGGCCTATACTGAGCCTCGTAGGCGTTAAGCTCCCGCAATTTGAAAGACTCTGAGTGAAATGAACGCGAATTCCTAGGCGATCCCTTAGATTAAGTACATTGCTACTGTATTGCCTCAAGTAAAATGCTCTCAGTGCAAGAGCAAAATGTTATTTCATTTGTACAGAACATGTTTATTACTGAATGAAAAAACCAACTTTCAAGTTGATAAATTGGGGTGAGCGATGCACAAAAGAAAGCCACGTGAAGTAAGAACCAATAAGTCAATGTCTATATGTATGCGACTACGTGTCAAGTTACATTCTGTGAGCACCAACAGCTCTTCTCTTTTTGTTGATTTTGATGTGATCTCAGATGTATCCCTTACTGGTGGTATCTACATGGAATGTGTATTCTCTAATCGTTGTAGTTGTGTTTAAGTTCCTTTCGGCGGTTTGATCACACGAACCATTACTTCTGACTGTTACTTTAAACACCTTTGTAAAGGCATTATAACGCTTCAACTAATCGAAATGTTCTTGCCGTATTGACGCTTTAATGCCCTTTAAAGGTGCGACTTCCTACCATTGTTTTACCAGTGATATTGTTGTTTGTTTTTCTGTACATATTTTAGTCTGCCGTGTTATGCTCAACTAAGTTAAGACTGACATTTTCTGACAGCCCTGAGAAAAGGAAGCCGTATGCAAAATACGTTTAGTAATTTAGGCTTCAGTATTATTATGCTTCGTGTGTTCTCTTGAATTAATGTTTTAAGTAAAAGGCGTAGAAAAAATTGTATAAATGTTATTAACCCGAAGCACGAACCATGAAGTCTCTCCGTGTGAAGGCCACCCGTCAGCCCCGCGTGCAGAATGGGCTGCCTCTGCGCCAGGCGCCGTACGGCCAGCAGCCAAGCGCCAAAACACAACAGGTGTCACGTTTTTCTTTCAAGGAGGATTTGAACGTAAACAGTCACACTATAATACAGACCTGCGCTGCGTGCAATGATTCATTGCCCTGCCTTTGACGGGCGACTTGTCAGCGGCAACATTGCCTGTTTTATTTCAAAAGGACGAACAAATGTCACGTTAAAGTCAAGTCATTTCTATTCAGTTTTTTATTGTCTGACTTAGGGGTAGTTTTTATATGTACATCATTCCCCACGCTGCGAGAACGCTTCATATATTATGGCACGTTACACAAGTCTCATATCTGTCATTTAACTGTAGAACCTGGATGATTATGGCGACCGCGCGAAGCTACTTACAGAGAATAACTTAAGTTTAAGGCGGTATCACATTCAAGTAAAAAAAAAAAATAATAGGTAAGTGATTACTAAACATGAGACTAGAACCTCCAAGACGTTGGGCACTGGCTTGAGGCACCTGCTATAATCTCGCATCGCACTTTAGTTCACTGAGGCTGTCGCGACAAACACCCGCTCGCACACACACGCACACGCGGCCACACATTCACGCGCCCATATGGGCACATCTCTGGGAGATATTAACATCATGTACACTTGTAAAAGTTTCGGTCATAAAATTACCAAAGACGTATGACAAAAATCTGACACAATTCTATGCAGAATGGTCGTCACTGAACGTACGATTTGCAGTCCGAATGGGACGGAAACTTCCAGATAGTTCATTAACACTTCTAAACATGTTTTTGTTTTCAGAAATTCAGAAATGTTTCAAATATAATCAGTTAGAAACAATAATCGTCAAAAAGGACAACCCTTTCTTCCAGTGTACAAGAGAAGCCATTATGATTGCTGGCTCGCTGCGCTATGTGCGAGGGCTGGAGACACTTTTTGCAGTGCGCTTGGATGCACTGGGTCAGGCGCACTCCCCGCGGCTCGACGTCGCGCCGGCAGCACTGCGGAAGGAGATGTTCCCACGTCGTCACCGCCGCCGCTGACCCTGACCGTGTGCGCCGTGAGCGCGTCATGCGCGGCGCTGGCGCATCATCCCCTGGACGAGGAGTTCGCCGGCGCCTCCGCCCCCCGCTGCTCGACCTGCTCGCCCACCCCCGCGGGGGCGCTCACGGCACCGAACGCCTCAGACACTTCCGCGATCAAGTCCTTTGCGATTGCGCTTACGACCTGGCCGAGCGTGGCGAGCGGCGAGGAGTCCTCGACCGTCATCGTCGCTGTCGTATTTCCAGTGACGTCCGCCACCGAGGTCGCCGGGGAGGCTTCCCGCTCGTCCCGGCTTGACAGCGGCAGCGGCTGGTCGTCGTCGTCCTCGTCAGGTATAGAGTTGTCCGCCTCGGTGGCCTCCTCAACCTCCATGGCGGGCAGTTCGGTGGACATCGATGCCATGTCAGTCAGCGCGGATCGGTCGCTCGAGCCCACCTCGTCGGTGAGGCCGCTCGGGTCTCCGGCCAGCGCCACGACCTGGTTCATTTGCTTGCCATCTGGTCTGGACCAAGGGGTGATCGCATCAGCTGTGGTGTCCGAACCTCCGCTAGCCCCGACAACTCCCTCCTCCCCCTTCTCCTGGTCTGGTGGCGTCTCGTTCGCGCCAACGACAGTGTACACTTCGCGTTGACCCACTCGGAGGCCGCCGATGTACACGTCGACAGGCAGCACGCTCGGGGTAGACGAGGCTCTCGCCGTGTCCGCGATGTCGTCCAGTGTGAAGGCGGTGTCGAAGGAGGCGATGCGGTCCTCATTGTCAGCCTCCCCAAGGTCAGTCCTGGGCGGGGCGCCGACGTCCCGCTGTTCGTCTTCTTTTACGACGCCGTTAACGCCCTCCGGCTGGGTCCCTCGCGCCTCGCCCTGCGCCGAGTCCTGCCGGTCCTGCCATGGCACCGCGCCAGCAGCGGCAGAAGCAGTGGCACCTTCTTGGTTCTGGTTCTGGTCGGCTCCGCTCTCCGGCTCCGCGCGATGCGCAGGCCGCCCCTCGCCCTCCACCGGCGCGGGGGTCACCACGTCCGCCGTCACCGCACCGCCGGCAACCGCAGGCGCGGCCGCGTTCTCGGAATCCAGACTGGCGCTATCGTTGTGCAGCAAATCTGCTGTCACCCGGATAACATCATCCAAAACGTCGGTGTGCCCGGGCTGCTGAGCGTCGTCGGCCGCGGCGGATTCCATGATAAACTCCGGAGTGGCGATGGACCCGCTACCCGGAGCGTCGGGTGCGAGGTCGGGTGCGTCCTGCTCGGCGGGGCTCTCTGGGGCCGTGCGCGCGGTGGAGGCCACCACCACTGGTGGCTCGCCCGAGAATACTTCAGTTGCCGGCTTCTCGACATCCTGAGTTGTGTACTCTATTCTCTCGTCAAAGCCTTGCGTCACCTCAAAAGTAGTGGTCGCTGTCGCAGGTTGTGACGTGGTCGTAGTGGTCGGCGCGGTGGTGGTCGATGCGGTGGTGGTAGACGTGGTGGTGGGCGCGGTGGTGGTGGACGTGGTCGTGGTCGTCGACGTGGTCGTGGTGGTCGACGTGGTCGTGGTGCTCGGGCGCGTCCAGTACAGGGGCGGGTACTCGTCGGCCACGTTGTCCGCCATAGGCAGCTCGAGGAGATGCAGCGGCAGCACGCCCGGTGGGAAGAGGTCACGGTAGGGGATGTTCATCATGAGCCGATTGATGCGCTCCCGGAACACCTCGGCGAAGGCCTGCTCGGCCGCGCCCTGGAAGGAGCGCCAGCCCTCCTCGCCGTGGTCGTTGAGCAGCCGGCACGTGGCGTGGCCTGAGGGACAGTCGAGATGAGCTTCGAGCCTAGCTGTGACCTGTCAGTAAGTCATAGCGGCGTCTACTTACTGTAGACAGACGAGTCCCCCTCCGGAGCGGAGAAGTGCGACGAACCCTTGGAGGGCAGCATGGTCCACTGCAGCGTGTTCACTCGGAAGTGAAGGGCGTCGTCTGACACCCGTCGCACCAGGTGGCCCTGCACTGCTACCTTGTTGTCCACATCCGCTGCATCGGACAGGAGAGGATTCACATTTGTAGTTTGATTGCCTTCGGCCACGGTTTAGGCTCTCTCAGTTCCCACCGGAGGCCGCACATGCAGAGGCACTTACTGAAATTGTATTGGCATGTCCCTCCACCCGACAGGGCCAGGAACAGAAAGCGGCCATCCATGTGGTAGTGCGCGCGAAAGGTGAGACTGGGCACCCTCAGCCTGATCTCCATACTCAGCTCCTGTAGATTGCTCCTGTAGATAACACGTCATCAACAAAAGAAGCAAATCCACCTGACAAGAACGAGGGTCGGAATGGAAATTTTCAAACGTTTGTGGGAACTCAAAAAAACAACAAAAAACAACGGTATTTCGGGCCCCAAATGCTTAATATTTTTTCTCCTTTGCGAAAACGATGATGGCAAGCTGCTACGCTTTAATTAGGCCTCGCGCGCACCTTACACCCGTCACGTAGTAGTCCGATAGACCCTCCATGGTGACGTTGCTCATCCGCAGGTGGACTCGAAACTTGCCGCTAACCTCGCTAAAGTTGAAAGTGTCAACAAACAGCGGGTCAATCGGTCGCACTCCAAGCTCCGGGACTCCTAAACGGAAAAACCCGGTCAAGAAAGAAACTGATAGTTTTCACCCGGTTATTAGTAAAACCTCGGTGACCGAGAGCTCACCTTCTGCAAACAGTGGCCGCAACTCCTGGGCGACGGTCTGCACGCAGTCATCCCAGTACCTGGCCCGGTACCGACACGTGTGGAAGTAGGGGTTGCCTAAAAACATTCACAAGGTCATGAAAAAGTGGGAAAGGTAAGATGGTTTCGCAGGGCCTTTTATACGTGTGTTTTTACGGGTCGTCTTCGTCTTGTGCCATCTCAAATGTTCTGCAAACATGGCTGACGCAACTGCATTAGGTTTACTATTATTACGATCAGACGGTGGTTTTGAAAAGTGCTTCTTCAGTCCTCCTGCGGTGGTACCGTCTCGGGAATGGTGGACGCGCCCTTCTGTCTCCTGCACAAAGCACAGCGGGACAACCGTGACAAAGACGTCGCGTACAAGTAAGTATACGAGACATAGATTGAATTGATTCATTCCTTGTTAACAGTAATTGCGTCGTCATTGCGACAGCGCTAATGAAATGCCCATCCGCCCCCAAAACTAAACAACAAGGTGAGGAAAGCGATCACGCCATCAAAATAACGATGCAATGTGGACACTAAAGGAGCGTCTATACAGACGAACGCGTTTTCCTTGGTCTGTAATAAAGTAATGGGTTTGCTGGAAGCTTATTTGCGCTGTCGTCTCCACCCCACCAGCGGCACGCTAACGCGAAGGTTATGACGTGTTGCGAAGTATTATTAAAGGCGCTAATGCACAGCGCGGCGCCCGAGCGTAATGTGCATCAGTAAGGACAGAATATAGATCGGGACGGGGGACGAGGAGCCTCGAACGATGAAAACGAAGTCTTTCGAGATCCTGATCTTTGAAATCAGATCGTCTTTGTCCGTTTAGCTTATCTTTAATAAGGTAACGGCAGAGGGTAAGATGACATGCATTATATGCGATTGCTGTACGGCGTATTTTAATACTTCGTTATATAATAAACAAGAAAGGGTGACTACAGTGACTAGACTATGCTGTCAAGCGTATATTTTCGCCAGCCCTCTAGAGGGGCGTCGCGAGGAACAGCAATGCATCCCAATATCGGACCCACCGGGGCTGCATAGTGATGAAGGTGTCAACAGGAAGCGTGGCTCTGCGACCGAGAGGGGGGCAAGGGGAGAGGAGGGGGAGGGGGTGAGAGACCACGCCACGAAGTATAATGAAGGAGCGAGAGGGGAGGCACAAGAGAGACGAAGACACATACGGCGACTGGATGCCCGGGAGAGGGGCGGGTGGGGCGCGGCGTGCAGCTGGAGGGGGTACAAACAAACGCAGTGCTTGCTCAGTACCCGCGTCCCGCGCTTGGCTTATTCGCACCCAAGAGCGAGGGAACGAAATGAAAAGAGTCAACTCGCTCCATTCTACAATGACTGAATGCTTGATGAACACAACAGGTATCCAATAACCAGAGGCTTTTTCAGCGCGCACGTCATTCGGGCAGGACCTGTTCCGTCCATGTTTCAAAGATACGGTGATGGCTCGTAATGATCGATAAAACGCGCCCGTAACACGATTTTGATCTCGTCGATTGTAGAATACAACCCTGGACCTGGACCTCCATAATTCAAAATTATCCGGGCACGAGACGAGTCTCGGGGTTGTATTTACTCAGACACTCTCTTTCTCTGAGTTTAGAGTCTAGAAGACAATCGCGCTCTTAACTCTGAAAACGTCAAGTGTGAGGGGTGGACACATACTTGCAGCATAGACTTCGCCACACTAAAGATGTCTATCCTTCTAATTAATTGATGTAACAGCAAATAAAACAAGGCATAGGCAGCACACTTTTTTTCATTTTTAGACGAGAACTTTTTTGCAAAAATGGTCTAAACAAATGCAATCGTGGGATAATGACGGGGCAGCATCGGCCCGGATACAACACGAAGGAGGTATGGCGGTGGCACGCGAGCGCGCCACCGCGCTGCCACGGCGCCTAACCTTAAACGAGGCGACACACGCTGCGCTACTCACTCTTCTGTTTGGGCGCCGCGGAGGACGGCAGGGGCGCGGCGGCGAGCCCCAGGCAAACAGCAGCCGTGAGCCACTCCATCGTGTCCGTGTCGCGGGCCGCGGGTCACATCTTCGTCCAGCCAGGATGGCGACGTCGGCCCGTCTGACGGGCCTGGGGCCGGGCCGTACACACGGCCGCTGGCCCGCCGGCTCGCCGCGCCGCGCGCACACACACACGCACACAAGGTTAGAGAGGGGACCAGGGGGGACCACGGCCCGGCCGGAGACAGCGCGCCGCCACGCGTGGTGTGGTGGGGCTCACGTGAGACGGAGACCAGCACGTTACAGGCTACACCACCAGGCTAGATAGCAACATCAGTACATCAATACATCAACCTCAAATATCGAAAGTAAGTCGCCATAACCTCTAATCCCGCAAAGAGCCGTAGGAGTCCAAACAAAGCGGGAACTGGGGACAAAAGCGCGGTATATGAAACCGTTGTAACGATTCGTCCACCTGGGAAGTATCTACAGCACCACCACGACTCACGCACGAACATGAGGCAAGAAGACCGGAATGCTCGAGCCTTACACCCCTGCACACCCTGAGAACACCTCCCTCTCCCTCCCTCCCCCCACACACACACACACACAATTTCGCGTGCAGGCAACAGGTAACTTATGGAGTATCAAGCAAAGGAGAAGGAAGGGTACTATTGGGGTACTCCTGTAATGTGGTGTAGGTTGTGTTTTCTTTTTGTGTTTATTCCATATATTTATTGATGTGTGTTGCATGCATAGCTGTGTATTGTAGTGTATCTAGTAGTATTTTTGTTTATTTTTTTAATGGAATTTTTTATATGAATTTTAACGTATGTTATTTTTGGACTGGCGGCCCCTTTCCGGCGCAATGGTTACATGCGGTTCTAGGCACATATTATAAAGTTTTTAGGCTTTTAGTCGGAAATTATGAAGGCGTTTCATGTTAATGTCATTCCTACGAATCAAAATCAAAACACAACTTGGAGATTCTCCAATATTGCGATAAGGTATTTCCAGGCTCGTCGTCGTTTGCACGAGTCGCAAGTGCAGTGCGCAGCAGCAGCAGGAGCACTCGGTAAACAAACGGTCAGCCTATTGCGGGGCCTTTAAAAGTAGTTTTATCATTTTAAACTATTACTGAAAAATTGTCGCGACGTATCAGATACACGTGACACGCGTAAACTGGTCGCTAGTCTATCGATTCAAATGTGTACACGGTATACTGTAAGGTGTACCGGGTGATTCAGAAAAGACTCATGGGCGTGTCTATGTCCAATTTATCTAATGTGGTATACATTTCATGTACCATGTCTGTATACACTACACCGTAAAAAAATGGTTGTTGAAAAACAGTGATGACTGTTTCGTTGACGAACAGCGCTGTTGTTCGAGAACAACAAAAGTTGTTCGAGGACAACATACGTTGTTCGAGGACAACATACATTTTTCGAGGACAACATACGTCGTTTGAGGACAACATGCATTATTGAAAAACAGCGATGGTTGTTTTCAACTTAAAACAAGAAATTTGTTGTGCACATCACGCGGTCTACTCTCTCAATCTTTTGGTTATCTATGCGGTCGATTCATTTCGATACCAAAATATTACGTACAACAGCCCTTTGTATGTAGGCAACCTTCATTACTTCATTACTTAATCACCCCTGATAAGTCGACGCCCCTGTCTTTTGTTGTAACAGGACACTTTTTTTGTTGTTAAGATGGATTCAGAGTTCACAAGATGCGAGCGTGATTTTCACGCCGCGAGCGTGATTTTCACGCCGCTAGCGTGAAAAGAGTTGTTTTGGTTAGCAGTTGACTTTATGCGACAGCCAATAACAGGCCGCCGTGCGGCTATGCCATTATTTTCAGCTGAATCAGCTTTGGAGCTAGCGTGATTTTTCAGGCTTCCGGCGTGATTTTCACGCTGGAGTCTGCTAGCAGCGTGATTTTCACGCCGCCGGCGTGATTTTCACGCCGGCGTCTGCTAGCAGCGTGATTTTCACGCAGTTCAAAAGTGCACATTCTCGAATATCTCCCAAGTGCCCCTTCGAACTTGCGTGAAAATCAAGCTGCTAGCAGACGCTTGCGTGAAAATCACGCTAGCTCCGAAGCTGATTCAGCTGAAAATAATGGCATAGCCTCACGTCGGCCTGTTATTGGCTGTCGCATAAAGTCAACTGCTAACCAAAACAACTCTTTTCACGCTAGCGGCGTGAAAATCACGCTCGCATCTTGTGAACTCTGAATCCACCTTTACTCGACATATTTTACTGTTGCTGAACAACTCTTGTCGTTGCTGGACAACACTTGTTGTGGAACAACAAGACGATGTTGTTGTACAACAGCGGGGAGTCAGTTAAAAACTTAACAACAACTTTGCTGTCAATTTACAGCATTTTTTTTAGTGTGAATTCAGAGTTCACGAGACGCAAGCGTTATTTTCACGCCAGGCGTGATTTTCACGCTTCGTAAGCTTCACGCAGCCAATCAGGGATCAACTTTCATCACGCCCGGCGTGAAAATCACGCCCGGCGTGAAAATCACGCTTTACGTGAGAATCACGCTCGCTTTTAGGGAACTCTGAATCCACCTTTACAGTGTATACTACTTACATGTGCGTTCGGTCTTCACCCATAGGCGACGTAGGCGTAAGTGGAAACCATAACGAGGAATGATGATATCAGTTAATACACTCACAGACTGCTTCAAGCTGACTCTCAAACTTTTGGTGGCAACTCAATATTATCCTTTGATGTTATAGAACACTTTCTATTTGTTTAGTACAGAGGCTCTCGAGGTATACGTGGTTCCCATAGTAGTGTTGCTACTAGTTCTGTACCGGGGAACGGACTCTGATCCTGAACAACACACACGTCCAGCAGGCTGGCTGGAAAGGAGGTGGGAGAGGAGGCCGAAGAGGGGAAATGGTGGCAGGAGATGAGGCAGAGAACGAAGATCTAGTAGGTTCGGTCGAAAATTACTGTCGTGGACTTCGGAATAGGGCTGCGAATGATATGGAGAGTGAGATGAAGTCACATAATCGAGGCGTGAAGTGTGGAGAGTGAGAGTGAGATAGAGGGTAAAAAGGGGGGGGGGAGGTGGGTTGGGGAGAGAGAAGTTTGTGGTACCCCACACCACACAAAGCAAAGCTCGCTGAGCTCCGCGACATAAATAAACATGAGAGGCGGGCAGATCGAAAAATGTCATGAGACGATCGAGAGGTACTGGCTGGGGAGCAGGTGGTTGCTTGGTTGCTGTCACACATATGAGCAGAATGCGTATGGGTGTGCACGGCGAGTGCGAAAACACGCCAGATAAATCACAAAGTATGCTTAAGTGTGTATGGTTTGAGAAGAAAACAGCTGCTACTTTGGAAATGATGCATAACAGCACAGCTCTCCTCGGCGGGTGGGCTACCCAAAGGCCGGAGGCAGCCCCATGTCCAATGACGGCGCAGTCAGTAAATGCCTGTTCCCATGAGAAAAATTATGAACTGTAGACTATGAACTTTTGTCTGTCACTTCCGCATTTGAGTGGATGGAACAGGAGTAGACGTAACATGATTAGAGAGACGGACGAACGATGCACGGTTGAGTCTTCACACTCAAATGACAGGGGACAGTTTTGTCTTCTTTGCCGTTGCATCTCCACTGTAATTTTGGGGTGTCTCAAATGTATACGCCAAAAGGCGTTTGCTACAGGATCCCGAGCGACATTTGGCGTATACTTTTGAGACGCCTTTTGGCGTATACATTCTAGACATCTTTGCCCGTACGACTCCCATGGCACAGCCCTAGCTTTGAGCAGCATGCAGGAGTAAGGATGTACAGGACGTGAGCGCCTTTCAGGGTGTATGTATCAAAGGGCCTCTGCTGTGCTGTGGGAATGGTATGGGCAAAGGTGTCTAGAATCTATACGCCAAAAGATGTCTCAAAAGTATACGCCAAATGTTGCTCGGGATCCTGTAGCAAACGCCTTTTGGCGTATACATTTGAGACACCCCGAATTACAGTGTGTGTGCTCTGCTCATTTTGCTAGAGGCAATTTTGTAGATTCAACAGAGTGCTAAAGTCGTATCTACAAATGTTCAGGGTAAAAATGTATCTAGCAAGAGATACAAATTTGCGTTACTCTCGCTCAGAAATCAAATTTGCATGTCAAAAGATGCGCACTCAGACGCATCTTGCAATGGACCCACGCAACAAGCTCCCTTTGATTTAGCATGAAGAACAATGGGTCATTTTGAAATCCAGGAAGAGAACATTTTTTGGAAGTATTTGATTACTTTCAGACAATTTAAATGAGGATGTTTTTACGGTGTAGTCTTTAAGAAGCGCAGAAATGATCTCATCGAATTACGCTTAACTACGTGAACAGTGAATACCTATTGCCGCTCTCAAGGTTCGTTTGCTTCTCGTGGCTGTAAAAGTGCCACAGATCGTGCGGGTACATATCCGGCTACAACAGGCACCGGCGATTAGTATGTGCACAGCGACTTCAACTTCACCTTCACCCGTTTTACAAAATGAAAACAAAATAATGTCAACTTAGCGGGAAGAGTGAGTGAATTCAGGTTGGCATGGTACTGCAGCTTCCGTTCACGCTTTCGAGTTTTCCTCCTCTCAAAACCGGTTTCAGAGGACCTTGCTGTGCGTTGTTTGGTTCGACGACCGAAAAGACCATCGTGGGTCCCATCTCTTGAGTCCGAGATCTATTTACGCCACGGTGAACTATCTTCGTCAGAAATCTGCAAAAATTCAATATGATAAACCTCTAGAAAAACCAAAAGCTATAGAACACCGTTTAAAGCTGACACTGCACCAATGCCTCTGTAAATGCACTACAACTGTTGAAAATAGCACCTGTGGGGGCCAGTAGTGCCGTCGGAAGTGTACTAATTTACTAATGCCTCTAAAAAGGTCTTTTGATAGCACCTTTGTTTTTCCAGTGAATGCGCATTCCATTCCGTAGGCTGTACAACAATGCTGAGGTGCTGAATAAGACTTAACGTTAAGAAGTACTTCTATTATGTGTTTTGCTCCCTTTAGTTGACACTCTCTACCTGTTTCAGCGCCGGAAAAGGTGTTTCCGAACAAACCGTTTTGCCAACGGTGGCTGTAACCTTTTTAGGTTGTACTAGGTGACTGGTTGAGATTTCAACAGCACCGCAGGCTAGTCTGCCCCCAGTGCGATGCCCCTCCGGAAGCGTTTGGACCGAGAGTGGTGGCGGGGCGCGTGGCGCCTCGGATGGCGGGGGCTGCCGGAGGCTGGGGCCCGGAGCCGGAGGAAGGGATGAGCGGCCCGCCTCCCGGAGGATCCGCGCGACTACTCAGGAAGTGGCCCGGAAAATCGCATATAAGTCGCGACACCAGTCGGGTCTGTGTGATTACTCGCCTTTCGTCCCTCCGAACAACACTACAGCCCCGCCATGAACGACGTGTACAACACTCTCCTCCTCCAGGGGCTCGGCATCCTCTGCCTGCTGACCTTCGCCTCCGCTGCCGAACTCAGTAAGTCAAAAGCGAAAGATAACGAGGGCGTCATATTATTGACGTCTGCATGACTAAATATCTAAATCAAATCAAAATTAAGTCAGAAATTGGTCTGCTAACACGGGAGATTTTGACTAATTTTGATTTGATTTTTTTTTTTGATCTGTTTGACCGAGGAGGCGTCTTTAATTCGGCATCGTTTCAACATCGTTACTATGTCGTGTTGACTGTCGTTTTCCTTTGGGTGCAGCAGTGTACGCTCTTGCTTATCGTCCAGGTGTGAAGTGCTGAGATTTATGTCCTCTTTTCAGGTGACTTTGTGACGCCGTGCAAGTCGGCTGATCCGGAGCTCAATGAGTGCGTGAGGCAGGCAGCCCAACGCCTATTCGAGATCAGCGCCAAAGGTGGGTGCGACGTCTACAATAACACTGTATGGTTGTGAAAACCAGGGGAATAAACAAATACTATGTGACCAGAATAACACGCACTCTGTTCTGTGTGACATCACTGTCATACACACTATAGCGTTAGTATTTCGAGAGGAACTTTTTCAGCGTTCGAATGCCACACCTTAGTTATGCACTTTCAACTGTTCAACTCGGTAGTAGTGCACATGTAGGTGTGCAACCCCACGGTTGAACACTTCCTTTGATTGTTGACTGTGTGGGAAGTTTTTCACAGATGAGTTGCACACTTACAAGTATTGAGCAGTTGAACACTTTGTTTATCACTGTTCTGTTTGTAGAGCATAATGTGAGCTTGATCTTCGTAGGTATTCCGGAGCTCAACGTACCGAAACTGGACCCGGCCGTGGTGCCTAAACTGGCCCTCGAGAGGGATGGCGCCCTCACCATGAACCTCGAGCTCGTGAACTCAACCCACCATGGCCTCAGCGGGGTTAAGGTCAAGACCGCCAGGTATGATCTCGGCCCACTTTCAACGCAGGCTGTCAAGTTTGGTATGATTTCTAACGTGTTTATTACTGCAGTGTCGACCCGCACAAGAACGTCTACAACTTCACCGTGCTCATTCCCCACTACGTCGTGGCCGGCCAGTACGACATCAGCGGGCGTGTCATCCTACTGCCCATCACCGGCCACGGCTCGGCCAACATCACCTTCAGTGAGTGTACCCGCCCGACCGTATTCGTATTTTACAGAAACGTTTGGGAAAAATTTTGTTTCGTTTTGGACAATTTCGATGCGCGCATACATAACTGCACTTCGTGCATTTGAATGCACGAGAGATTTGATTGCTTAACTGCAAACTAAATAAAAGATACGAATCCGCTAAGTTGCCAGCACATGTACTTTCTGATACGTGTGCTCTACCATCTTGAAATGGGTGAACTAGGTTGAGCTTTAACAAAGGTGGGTGTAATAGCGTGGGTGTCATACTACACACATTACGGTTTGTAACACACTGTGTTACAGTTTGAAAAACAAGTATCATATTTTTAAATATGTGAGATTTGAATATTCGTGCTGCGGAGGCGCTGCAGTCGTTGCACACTAGGATACGAAGTGCGGCTGTATAAACCACCTCGAGGCTAAGAAGCCGCTGTACGCGTTGAATCTTAATCTCTACTGCATCCCGTTCCAGTCGATACCGAGGGCAGCTGGACGTTCCAGGGCGAGCGAGAGATCAGAGACGGCGAGTCGTTCCTCAAGCTGACCAGCCTTAAGACTTACATCAGCCACGACTCGCCCAAGAACGTGCGGATCCACTTTGACGGCCTGTTTGGTGGCAACAAAGTTCTCGGTACGCTTATCTCATCAGGAAATTGATCATCACACTTCTAGCAGTGCACAAGGTACGGTTTTGAAAAGAAAACAACATATCTTTTGCCGTAGGCGACACGATGAACCACTTCATGAATGAGAACTGGAAGGAGATCACCAAGCAGCTCAAGCCCAGCGTCCAGGCCTCGTTCGATCGCCGCCTCCTGCCGGTGGCGCAGAGGTTTCTCGCCAACTTCCCTCTCAAGCAGCTCTACGCCGACCTATGAGGCTCGACCGCCGCGCAGCGCCGCCCCGAGCGACGCGCAGGCGAGATGGGTGGCCTATGCTGAGGCGCTGCCGCTGTGCTCTGCTGTGTGCGAGCTGCACCGCGCCTCTGGCGCCTCGCGGTCACTGACGCGCCGCGACCTGCGTCATGATAAGAAGGCGCCAAATGCCTTCCTGTCTGTCTTCCTTCCGTGTTTCTTTCCCGCGCTCGCCTTCCTTATTTATGTTCCTAGGTTATCGTATTTATGTTATGTTTGTCGGGAATCATCTCTAGTCAATTGTGGATTGTTCTGCGAAAAATGATAGTTTTCTGGTGTGAATAATTGTGAATAGTGTAAATGTGATATGTGATACGACCCTCGGGCCAAACTCCGCCCGAGGCGATTTAAATAAACCCCTTCGCAATCTTTGCGTACATACGTGTATTATTATTTTGCTGTTCCCCTGGACAACGCGGGCATAACTATCCAGCTCCTGCACGAGGGGGAAATCACTTGCGTACTAACTCGTACACCCAGGTCTGTACTACAGACGTACTAACTCGTACTAACAGCGTAATAACGCGTACTAATGGTAGAAATCAAGCGCAATAATGTTGTAACAACATTATTTTCCATAAATGATGAAAAACTACGCAAAATATAGAGTGTACTAACGTGTACTAACGTACTAACTCGCAACTTTGGTCTGGAGTGATTTCCCCCTTGGCCATGCATGCATCAACCCATGGCGCAAAACTGCACTATAAATGAGTTATTGCGTCTTATGACGCCAAAGATTTGGCATCCTCTTAAGAACGCCAAATTTTGGCGTCATAAGACGCCAATTCTTGGCATCCAGTAAAAGAACGACAAACTTTGGCGTCGTATGACGCCAAAATTTGGCGTCTTTTAGGATTTGCCGTCATAGGACGTAAAAATTTGGCGTCATAAGACGCCAATATTTTGGCGTCGAAAGACGCCAATATTTTGGCGTCAAAAGACGCCAACCCATTTACAGTGTGCTGGAGCTGCAGGGCAACTAACTGTCGCGAGGCCGACTGGCAACTACTGTTTCCCAGCTTCAGAAGGACCCCCAACTTTGACCAGCTCCCCTCCAGCCGCCTGGTACGTGCCGCCGTGCCGCCCTGCCGCCGCCTTGCCTGGGAGGTGCGGCCCGCGGTCCACGCGCAGGCGGGGCGGGTCGCGTGGCACCCGGCTGCGCCCGGCCGGCCAGTCTCAGTCAGCAGCGCGCGCGCCCAGCACACCATGATGACCCTCCTCCTTCTGGCGATCGGCCTGGCCGCTCTCGCCCCGCACAACGCGGACGCCGCCAGCAAGCTGCGTGAGTACGCAACGCAAACACGAGGAAAGGTAGGGATCCCTAGGACAGCCCTGACGGTGCCTTTGGTAGAATCAGCCGAAACCACGGCTGCCCGCCCACTTGCGCCTCCGCCTCGCTTGGACAAGGGTGGGGTGCCATACAAATTTACAGCAGTGGAAAGCGACCCTTGACGCATTTGCCTATTCATATTTTTTCATTTGTTGTTCACAAACAGTAGAATATTTCTAGTGGGAAAAAATGGGCCTAGATTTTCGAAATTCTGCAGATTGGGGCGAGTTGTCATAAGCTTGTAACCGGGCTCACCCCCAAAACCGAGGCGAGCAAGCTGGTGCGAGATGATCGGCACCCGAAAGATAGGGCCTAGTCGGCGAAGGCGTGGCTGATGTCATTTCACCCCAGGGCGTGCGTGTAGCTTATCTTAAAATGGCTGCAAAAAAGATCATCACTTTTCGAGTATTGTCCAAAACAAGTTACATGGCAAACAAAAATTGCCACTCCACACTGGAAACGGAAGTGTGTCACACAGTTTTAGATGTGTGTATGACTAGCATTCACACACTTGGGGTTTCGGTGCCATCCCATTTCGCCACGTGCAGAAATTTGTGAATTAAAATTTTGTGCTGGAAGATTACTTCTTCGTTTGGGTTCTGCCCTTGAAGCGCCGTGTTGCGTACAACAGATAGCAAGCATTGCCTGTCCATGGCAAGCGTGTTATGAAAACCACCGCAAGGGGAAACAGCAAGTAAACAAAATAATTGACCCCTGTCATTAGAGAGGCAGCTTAGACGTCGCGCACGGAGGATCCTTTTTTATCGTTTCGACAAATTGTCCACAAGCAAAAGACTACTGTCTCCACAAATCAAGAAGGTTCGATGCACCTTGTGCGACTGAAATAGAATGCCCGACCCTGGAGATACAAAGAGAGCCAATAACAGAAGGACAAGAGCGGGTGACACGGCAGGTAATGTGGGTTAGGAGACCGGCCAAACCACTGCCTGCGGCGCGGCAGGGCTGTGACCTGTTGAAAGAAAGTAATGACGACCCGTACAATATAACTTAAGATGCCATTATGCGTTGCAAATGGGTCCAATGAGGCGTTACGAATTTTTTCCACGATGAGAGTTGGCGACAATTTTACCGTGCATTTCACAAAGTAAGCTATGGTTCAGGTTCTTAATTGCGACACCAACACGGCGTGCTTTTTCTTTCGAATGATATTATCCACCCTACCTTGTCCATTTATTTGGTTGTTATTTTGTTTTTGTTTTACAATCTTTGGCTTTGGCTGTCTGTGCCTTCCCAGTGAGAACAAAAAGTTAGAACGGGGTCAAAATGGGGTCTTTGCAGGACACTTTGACGTCGAAGTCCGTACCTGGGAGGAAATGACTCTACTACTTTGACCTCGTTTTAACGTGATTTTGATTTGGGCGTTTTCCTTGGGATATATGCCACTTAAAAGCGCGAAGTCCTAAACTTTGCTCATTTGCTCATATTCGTGTGAAAAGGAGTCGGACCGTTCAGAAACGGATGGTGCTGTTCGGTTTCTCGCCGATGACCCAATCGTTGGCTCAACTTCAAGCACTGCACGCTGCACGAGGGTGCTGACCTTCGTGGGGCTCCGGGCCAGACGCTCCAGGCCGCTCCGGCTCCAGCCACACACAGCCCGGTGTGAGGAAACCTCTCCAGAACCGGCATTTATTGCATATTGCCAAATTGGACCGAGTTTTTCCCGAATGCAGATATGCAAAGAAGAACGAAGGAATATTTTACTTTTGGCTTGGCCGTAGCGAAGCTTATATGCTTTTCTGACCCCAAGGGTTTTGTTCTGATTGTCTGTCTGGATAACTCTAGAACGAGTGTTAGCAGTTGAAGAAGTTCAGGATTGATTCGTAATAAAAATGAAAATATTCATTGATTTGGAGCATTGTAGCTCAACAAATAACCGATTCGCATTTTTACCGATTCGAAATAAAAGGATTAGTATGTAGTTCTATTAGTCAAAGGGGGAGGTTACAAATTTAAAAGGCGAGACAAACAACCCACCTTCCCCC